GAGCCGGAGGCCAGTAACGAGTTGTTCCTGGATGTACGCCATTGAAGGGCTACTAGGCGTCAGGAACAATTACGCAATTACAGGAGGTGATGGTACTCAATTGGTGGTTATTAGGCTCCTCTCCAAACTATTAAAAAGCTACTTGTGCACACGGCCCTCTTTGCAGAAGTCAACACAGGATTGAATGTCGGAGGACAGTACTGGGAGCTTGGCAGGCTGGATTGCTGCATTATCTGAGTTTATTGCTGCCTGAGTTTGTCTGAGTTGCTCCCTTATCTGTTTGTTGTGCTTGGCTTTCAGCCACCGAGGTGTTGGTTCCTTGCTGTTAAAGAACATTCCAGTTAAGCTTGTCTCGGCATTCGTTACTGGACGGAGGAGGGTGTTGGGGTCTTGCTATTAAAGAACATTCCAGTTAAGCTTGTCTCGGCATTCGTTACTGGACGGAGGAGGGGGTCAGAACACCAAGGTGCTCCAAGGAACGTCACTTACCGCAATCTGTCCACCTTCCTCAGACAGGTAGAGCTTGACGTCTCTTAAGGCACTTAAGGCACACTGTCTGTAAAGGAACCACAAACACAGCGATTAAAGCCTGTTTAGATTACACAAGAGTTTAGACAAAGCCCTCCGGCTATTTTAGTAAGGCTGTCCGGTTGGACCTGTACAAATTCAGAGGACTGCAAGATGGCAGCATGGAGACCAAGTTCTTGAGATCTTTGGACTGTCACCTAGGAGCAACCTCATTTTTCCCCCTCAGCTGAGGTGAGGTAATTTGGGATTCAGTCCACTTCACCTCACCAAAGGTACTGCTCATTCCCCAGTTCCCTCAAGATATATGTTATCTGTCAGAAATGTTGCAGAAACACTCTTCACCCAAACTTCAGGAAGGACAAAATATAATATTTTAAGACACCAAAAAAAAGACATTCACATATTTCCCAGAACTGCTGCTCAACCAAGGCAGGTACAGATAGGCCTCGACACACAACCACAACTGAGGCCAAAATGTCTGTTGCTAAGTGAGACGAGTTGCTAAGTGACTGTCACTGCGGTTGTTGAGTTAGTAAAATGGTTGTTAAGTGAATCCAGCATCCCTCCTCTTGACTTTGTTTGTCAGAAGGTCACAAAAGGGGATCAATGAACCCCCCCCCACCAACCCAGGACACTGCAACCGTCATAAACATGAGTCAGTTGCCAAGCATCTGAATTTTAAAAAACAGCCATAAGACACTTTTCAGTGCCGTTGTAACTTCAAATGGCCACTAAATGAACAGTTGTAAGTTCAGGACTATCTGTAGAGGTTTATGTACGTGTAGCTTCATCCATAGCCCTGAGGTAAAAGTTCCCCTCACACATATGTGCTAGTCATTCCCGACTCTAGGGGGCGCTGCTCATCTCCGTTTCAAAGCCAAAGAGCCAGCGCTGTCCGAAGACGTCTCCGTGGTCATGTGGCCGGCAAGACTAAATGCAGACGGTGCACGGAACGCTGTTCCCTTCCCACCAAAGGTGGTTCCTAGTTTTCTACTTGCATTTTTTACATGCTTTCGAACTGCTAGGTTGGCAGAAGCTGGGACGAGGAACGGGAGCTCACTCCGTTACGTGGCGCTAGGGATTCGAACCGCCGACCTTTCTGATCGACAAGCTCAACATCGTAGCCATCGACCCTACTGCGCCTGACGACTAGGAACCTTAATTGATCCCTAGGTAGGAGCTCGCACACATAAAGCCGTTGTAGCCTGAATTTTGGAAAAGCGAGGCGTCCGTTAGCAATACAAAAATTCCTTTATCACGCAGCTGAGATTGCTGGCAGATTGTCTGACTCCTGCAAATAAATAGCTTTCTCTTTGCCCAGCTGAGACAAAGATTTTAGGCCACGGGGCTGCATGGAATATGCTACAAAACCTGCGTTTGGATGCCAGTCCAGCTCCTCAGTAGAAGGAGGCAATTGTGTCTCGTTCAAACAGTCAACAAAGGACAATGTCCCCATTTACAAATTTAAGAATAAAGACTCTGGATTTTCAGAAGAAGAGCCTCTCACAAGTGCCGAAAGCAGAAGGATTAACGGCCGTAATGGCTTAGTCACATTGTTGGAAAAGCTCTAACCCCGATACAGGTAGTCCTCGCTTAGTGTCAAAGCTCAAAGTTACGACCATCGTGGAAAAAGGGGTGCAAAGTTCCAGCGGTTGGGCCATCTCCCCTCCCCCCAGCACATTTTGGACATTTGGCAATAAAGCCACATTTGCAGCATCACGTGATAATATATTATTACAACAGTTTTGCCCAAAACTGGGACTTCTGGCAGAAGTCCATAGTAAGCAATGGGTTTGTTTAAGGACCATCGTGTTTGCTTTATGACTGCCATGTTCACTTTACAACCACAGGAAAAGGGACGTAAAATTACCATAATGGGCAGGCTTTACTATGGTTGTAACTCGAAGTCTAGTCGTAGTTTTTCCCCAACTTCATAATCCTGTTATTACCTAGTGGTCCCCCATTCAAATCTAGTTTGTTAAGCTTTCAAGTGGTTCTCTAACAAAGGAAGGAAGGAAGGGAGGGAGGGAGGGAGGGAGGGAAAGAAAGAAAGGGAAAGAAAGAGAGGGGGGAAAGGGAAATGGAAGGAAGGAAGGAAGGAAGGAAGGGAAAAAAGAAAGAGGGAGGAAGGGAGGGAGGGAGAGAAGAAAGGACAGGAAGGAATGGAAAGAAGGAAAGAAAGAAAGAAAAGAGAAGGGAGAGAGAGAGAGAAGGAAAGGAGGGAGGGAAGGAAGGAAAGAAAGAAAGAAAGAAAGAAAGAAAGANAGCATATTGCCCCCACAGTCTGGGTCCTCATTTCACCCACCTCGGAAGGATGGAAGGCTGAGTCAACCTTGAGCCGGTGAGATTTGAACTGCCAACCTGCAGATAGCAGTCAGCTGAAGTGGCCTGCAGTACTGCACTCTAACCACTGCGCCACCTCGGCTCTCTAGGAGTTGATGACTGTCAACTCCTAAAGCTGACATAGTAGGAAAGGGGGAGTGCGCATTCCACGCATACTTTCGACTAGTTGGATCTCAAATTACCGCAGCAGACTTGGGAGGGGTGCACCTCATTGGAGAATGTGATTTATGAATCAGACTGAGGGCAGGGAAGGAACAGGGGTGAAGTTCAGCTACATTTCAAATAAGCTAAGATCTGACTGCATAAAACAGGCATTGCCAAAATGCTCCTAATCAATGACTGGTTTCTCTTTTGAAATTTGACTCGAGGCTCGTGAATCAACTAGGTCACTTAATGGAAACCTGACAATCACTTTCCTCTGGGACTTGCCAACTAAACTGTCAACTAACTGTGTTGCTTCGGTGCTGTGCCCCAGGTCATCACAGTCCTCTCCACTTCCTCTTCCACCACCACAAACCACACTCCATGAGACTTCAAGGACCCGATTGTATGTCCTTTCGTTGTAACTTTCAATTGTCGCTAAATGAATGGATGTTAACTTAGGACTTTCCTGGATCTTCGGCAAACGAGCAGCATTCGTGCTATCGGCAAGCTAGTTTGAGTGGCTTGAAGGCAAACCTGGACCCAGCTGAACCAGGAGTAGTTATCCCGGTGATTCTTTACCTGTCGTATCCGTCCGGATCCAGAGGCTGGTAACTGGATTGATAGCAGCTGATCCTCTTCATGAAATCTTCCATGGCGTCCGTTGAGTTGCAGTCTTTATAATCCGGGCTGGATAGCTTGACTTCCTAAAAAATAGGAAATGTTAAATGGTTAAGAATAGTCTGTTCTAGCGATGTTATAAAAGCAGTGTTTGTCAACCTGGCCAGGTGTAAGATGTGTGGACTTCAACTCCCAGAATTCCCCAGCCAGCTGGCTGGGGAATTCTGGGAGTTGAAGTCCACGCATCTTACACCTAGCCAGGTTGACAAACACTGTTAAGAGAATAAAGTCCACAGTGTTCAATTCTGTCTTGTGACTTCACTACCGCAGATAGTCCTCGACATAGGACCACAACTGAGCCCCAAACTTCTGTTGCTAAGCGAGGCACTTTTGCCCCATTTTAACACCAGCTGTTAAAAGTCGATCGTTGAAGTTGCGAAGTTAGTCAACACGGTTGTTAAGTGAATCTGGCTTCCCCATCGACTTTGCTTGTCAGAAGGTCGCAAAAGGGGGATCCCGCGACGACCCTGAGACACTGCAACCATCATAAATATGAATCAGTCGCCAAGCGTCTGAATTTTGAGCATGTGACCATGAAGACACTGCAATGGTCATAAGTGTGGAAAATGGTCATAAGTCACTACCAGCTAGTGAATTATGGATAAAATTCTGGGCTGCTGTTATAACTTCGAATGGACAGTAAACATCATCTCCTTTTTATGACCCCATAATCCTTTGCGGGGTGGAGTTGGGGCAACTGAATGGAGCAGAGAGTTTACTGGCCAGATGCCTTTCCTGTCACCAACATGGAGTTTTATTCGGCAGATAAATTCTCATTGTGCTCAGAGAGAAATAAGGTTTTTTTTTGGGGGGGGGGGATTGTAACTGAATAAACACTAGACAAATTGATGAGTTGATGAGAACGGGATGGAGAGAGTCCAAAATGCACAAGATGGATGTTCTCTCACTCAACTGTGACCCCTTCCCAGAAATATGGTTCTCCAGCCCAATCTGAAGGATTTTCTGGGGTCCAGGCCGGACTTGAGAGATAGGAAACTGTCTTCATATTTACCATGATGTTGCTCGCAACCACCGTCGGGTCATTGCAGACGGACTCAATGAAGAAGACCTGCGGGAAGCAGAAGACATTAGAATTAAGGCTTCATGAACGTATGACTTCGGTAGGCACAAAAACGGAAGGACACTTAGATTCCTAACATGGACGGAATGGTTGCAGAATTTGATGGAGTTGGCTGAAATGGCAAAACTGACTATTTGGATTAAAGAAAAGAATATGACGTATTTTTCGGACTATAAGACGCAAATAATAATAATCTCAAATAAATTTGAGAAAAAACATTTTTGCACTCTGCAGGCCTCCCAAACCCTCTGCATGCCTCCTTTTTTTTGTGAAAAACGTGGCATGCAGAGAGTTTGAGAAGCCTGCAAAGTGCTCCTGGGGACTGGGGGGGGGGTGAGGGCAAAACCGAGCAAAAAACGGCCCATTTTTCATGAAAACGGCCCCTTTTGTTTTGCAAAAAACAGGGCAGCTTTGAGAGGCTTGTAGAGTGCTCCCGGGGTCTGGGAGCAAACCGGGCCAAAAATGACCAGTTTTTCGCTTGTCTTTGCCCTTCCCAGCCCCCAGAAGCACTTTGCAGGCCTCCCAAACGGTCTGCACATCCATTTTTGCAAAAAATGGGATGCCCGGGGTTGGGATTTCAGGAGGCCAAAAATGCTGTATTCAGTATATAAGCTGCACCCAGATTTTCTCCCTCTTTTTTTCCGGGGGGGGGGG